AATAACACACTAGCCTCACTTTCCCCATCTGCATTGTCAGTCCCTAATGAATATATGGAATTGAATAAAGTGGCCCACACAACAAGGCGACTAAAAAAACCCTGAAACACAAACGGCAACTGCAAACAAAAGAGTCTACACCTCACAGTGGCTTTTATATAATGGCAACTCGCACGGTAAACAAAGCATTGGGATAACAAGAACACCGTCAGATGCTGAAAAGGTAAATTTATCTTGGGAACAACAGTTTTTCTTTGTTCTTTTTACAGCCTGTTGTGAAACATAATTACTCTACTTATGCTTGTGCCTGATTAGGTTAAACGTCAAGAGCTTTTTATGCACAGAAAAACTTAAACCACTAAAAAATGATGCATATACAACTGATATAATCCATCTGTGCAAGACATTGTTTATTGGTAATTCAGATATTATTTGTTTAGTGTCTTTTGTATGTAACTGGATTCTGTGTCCTTCAACTGAAGAGGTGAGGTAAATTTAAATCACATAGTTAATTTATTTCATGATCTCCATATAACAAATTACTGTATTTATGATTGTGGCACAATTTTCTTTTCATCACAACGTAAATATTTCCTCATGATTTAGACAATTCAACTTAATTTTCTTGTGATCTCACCATAACAAAAGTTGTATTCATGAGATTAACTTTTTTTATATATCTTTCTTCCAGGAGTGACAACTGCATTTACGGGAATTATCATTTCATGTGTGTACGAAACTGAACTCACTCTCGAAACTGCAATGCTTGACACCATGGTAACTAAAGCAACATTCTGGCATCTCGTGTGTTTAGTATCATGCATTTTTAACCAAAGTAATATTACAGTGACCAAAGTCTCGTTTTGTTCAGCGATTTTAACTAAACCACCGACAACAGAGCCATTGTGTTTTGTTTATGTTTGGAAGGCTACTTCGCAGAGCACGCTCTTAAAGGGTTGCCATGTCCACTTATTATAAGCAACACTTATTAAGTGTCTTTGGGCTTGTTGTTTGAGCTCGGCTCATTTATATATAGCATATAGATATAGTTTATGGAATTAATAAAGTAGGCATTTGGATTTGAGTTGATTATGGAGTTATTATTTGTTTCTAGGAAGATCTGGCAACACTGAGGCAAAACGTACAGTGTGATTTCTTGCACCGCACAAACATAAGAAAAGACACCACTCTGATACGTTTTTAAATACGTCATTAACTACTAGTGGTTCAGTTCGGTTCTGTACACACTGCCTAGAATTTCTGCAAATGCGGTTGACACTACCTGAATTTTTCAAGAGTAAATTTGATCGTAGAATGCAGTTGTTACTCCCTTAAATTACTAAACTGTGTATGTACAGAACTTGATGCACTAAAAGGTGAATTGACAACCGAATTTAGCGGCAGTGTGCGTGGCCATTGTGCCGTTGAATTTTTTTTTTTTTTTTTTTTTTTTTTTTTTTAAAAATTTTCCTTCCTTTTTTTTTCCACCCCCCAGTTGTTACTCCCTTAAATTACTAAACTGTGTATGTACAGAACTTGATGCACTAAAAGGTGAATTGACAACCGAATTTAGCGGCAGTGTGCGTGGCCATTGTGCCGTTGAATTTTTTTTTTTTTTTTTTTTTTTTTTGCTTTAGAAAGTTAACTTCCCTTCTGATTCCAGCCTCCATCGTTTTTGTTCTAACAAACCATGTTTTTTCTCAACTGTCGTCTATTTATAAACACTGCCTGGTAGGTGCGGACCCCCGGTCACCTGCTCTGATCGCAGAAACAGAAAAATATACAAGCGCACGCTCATTCTGCTGCAGTGATGGCCTAGCTGTCTGAGCCCTGGGGACGGTGGCCGCTCTAATGATGGAGACTGAGGGGAAGACCTGCTGTGAGTGAATAATAGAGCTGTCCGGACATATGCCGTGTTCTCTGGACTGGTGATTCCTGCTGGGCAGGGGGTGGGGCTTACTATGCAGCTTTTTGATTGGTCTGTTTAGACAGCTGAGGAAGATGCTAAAGCTGATGTTAAAGGTTTGCAATTAGGTATGTGATCTAAATCTAAATTTGATGTCCAACAACAAATATTGGTTTCATAAATCTTTGCGCTCCTCTTTGGTGTTGCTCTTTATTTGACTGACATGCATGTTCATATTCCTTCTAATTACTCCACCCATTTTGATTAGTTTGATTTTATTTTATAGAAAACATTGCAGTCTCTATTGGCCTTGTCCTTTTTAAAAAGGACAAGCCCGTCAGGTTTTTTTTTTGCATTTTTGTTTTATTTTGTGCCTTTTGTTTTATTTTGCTTTGTTTTGCTTTATTTGTTTTCTTTTTATTTCATTTTCAGAAAACATTGTCGGTTTCTAAGAAAGGACATGTATTTAAATGTTTTGTTTTGCATTTTGTGTTTTTTGCATTGCTTCGATTTGTGTTTTTTTTTTTTTTGGTGTGTTGTTTTGTTTTTCTTTTCTTTTCTTTTCTTTTCAGAAAATACTGCAGGTCTCTATTGACCATAAAAAAGGACAAGCTCTTCAATATATTGTATACCAGTCCAACTTTGAATTTCATTCAGAATATGAATAACATTTGTGAGCCATTTCATTGGATCTTTTGAATGTGTCAAACCTAGATGTAGTCCGAAAAAACATAGCTGTGGCATTTAAGTCTGTATAGATTTTCAAGGTCCCAGTGTTCAATTTTTAATGTGGTACGGGACTCCCGAGAGTGATTGATTGTTCACAGCAGCTAAAGTTCAAGCTTTTTGGGTTGGGGTTGAGAAATAGATCTACAGGCATTTACCTTAACGCCCCTGTCAGACTCGGCACCCTTCCTGGACCACTGCCGTTAGCACTACATCACCCAGCGAGTGTCAGAGGAAGTAGGGCTCCTCACTGAGAGAAAATCACCTTGAGGGAGAGCTCTGGAGTTCATTGGATATAAATCCTATTGTGCGGGGGCCTGACTCGCAGCGAGAGTCCACCTGTAATGGCCTCCTTGCTGCTCAGAAGAGATTAGTGTGAATCCGGGTGGCAGAGAGTGTCCTACAGTAGCAGCACACATTCAACTCCACTCGCAGTGTACAGTAAAAAATGATTTTGACCTATTTTTGAAGTTACATTTGAAGTTTTGGGTTCCTATCATGAGCTTTAATTCTCCAAAAAGTAATTATCATCCGATAATCCACTCTCCCACCTGCTGTTTGGAATCGGAAAGGCCTTCTCTTGGATCAATGCTTGTATCTTTACACTCATTTCAATGGTGCAACATTTAAAGTCGATCTTTGTAAATATATAGAGTTTTACATTCTTTTCCTTGATATGTTTCTGTGAAGTTTCTGTTTTTCTTACCTAATGGGCAAATACTGGCATTTAAGATTTTATCGGGTTATCAAAAGGTCTTTTAGGAATAATATCAGTCAAGTCAAACTCTGTGGGGTTAGATAAGTGTCAAAAACATTGGATGCAAAATAAAAAAGTAAATTGTCTTTTATTAGCAGTTTTCTTTGCATCCTTTTCGCCGATCAAAATTTATGATTGCAGTAACTGCTTTTCTTTTTCACTGCCAAAGGCTTTTTGTTGTCAGAGTTTTTATGTAATGTATTTGTGTCAGTTTGGCATGCTGTTGCATCATTAAACTATTAGTTAGACCAGCCTCCTCCTCGGTCATATATTCCACCATACTTTTGGCACAAATCAAATGCATATGATGTACATTATTCATTTTTAATTCGTTGTATTTGTTTGTTTGTCAGGAAAACTGTCTTGGTTTGCTTTTAGTGTAAATACTGTTTTGTCAAATGTCATACTGATGACAACTAGTAAAGTCAAGGGTTAGTCATAAAGAGTTAGTTCACCCCAAAAATTAATGATTTGACATTATTTGCTCACCTTCTTGTTGTTCAAATCTGATGTTTTTTTTTTCTTATGTGGAATACAAAATATATTACTACTGCTCTTGTTGCTCCCAGATCTTGTAATGTGAAAGAATAAAACTACAGATTTTAGTGGCTCAAATTCCCCATCTACATAAATAAAGAATTCTTTATAGCCGAGATTATGAAATATTTCAAGAACTGTTAGTCGCTTCCCATTGCTTGTCCCACATATAAATAGTTAAACATCTTTCAGCTCAAGTGGACACGCATTCCCTGTAATAGATAAAAAGCCATTATATTTCACTTTCAGTTAAACTCATATTGTAAAACGCTTTGCATTACCCTTAAATGCTGTGATACATTTTTAAAGAAGTACTTAATTTAAAACTGTCAGACTCAAGCCATTCTGAACGCTTGCCTCGGGTGGGTCAATGAATTTCTCAGTGCAATGCTTATTATTAATGTGGACTCCGTAGCAAATGCACGCTAAAAATCTCTCTCTCGCTCACGATTAGACATTTGGAGTGGCTAAATTATTATTTTTTATTTCTCACTTTCCAGTATTGTCACGCACTTAAAACTTTCACAAATGGTGAAAAAAGGAAGGTGACCCCCACACCCCCAGATGAATAAAAACATCGAATATGGGTTATGGCTATTGTATTTGAAACAAACTGCCACCCATGCTTTTATAAATCACTGCTATTTTTCAACCGATTCTGGGATCAATGTATAAAAACGGGGTGATCTTCATTTGGCGAGCCATGCAGGAGTACGTGGTCGTCAAAACGTTCCTCATTATGAGGCTGTACAGGTGATAAATATCACACAATGGACCTTAAATTTGTGCTCTACATTTGTGTATTGACAGCGATTTGGAACGGGAGCTCGCTGGGAAAAATTGCATCCATGGAAACAGGCCTTAAGTGGCACTTAAAATGCGCTGAATTATGGTTTCGTAATAAGGCTGCATCTGTTCAACTTTTTAAAAAATGATTTCATACTGGTGAAATGGCATTGTGGTTTTATGGAGGGTTTTGTTGAGTGTAAATGCATGTTCACTGGGAGGGCGAGCTATATTGTGTGATATTAAGACTGTGAATCAAAGTTTATATGTGTGTTTGTGTCTTCTCAGAGTTGGTGCGTAGCTGTAAGGAGCGGAGGTGTCAGTTTGACTGTGTGATCATGAGAAACGGGACGTCCTGTTTCTGCGGGGAAGGTTTCGAACTGGACAAGGATGGGAGACGGTGTCGAGGTGAGGGTCATTACCATTTGAACTCTGTTTGAAGAATTTTACTCTTTAGAAATGTCACTGAATGGAACTGCAGCACTTTTTAAACCGTTTTTACTTACTACAGGTAATTAAGCAAAAAAAAAAAAAGACCAATAAAATGCTTTCCAAAATAAAATCTTCCTATGTGATCCGACTAGAAAAAGCAAATATTGGCGTAAGATCATATCCTCATACCAAGTGCCTGATGAAAAATAATTTTAGCTAATCAAAAGAGCTTTTCTTAACCAGTTTGAGCTATGCTAAACTAGCAGGCTAAGCGGTTAGCTACCTGAAAATGATTTATTTTTTTCAGATTACATTTAGATTACAAAAAATAAATAAATTGAAAGATGTAATTAACATATTTAATGATTAAGAAAATGTTTTAAATTGATTTTCTATTATTCCTAATCAGACATAAAAATTAGTCTATATCTGCATAATATCTGCATGTTTGCGATATCTTGTTTTAGTTTTTCTTAACCAGTTTGAGCTATGCTAAGCTAGTAGGCTACAGTAAAGTTGTTAGCTACCTAAAAATGTTTAAATATGATCATAATTTGAAATATAGTAAATGATAGTATTTTTTTTTTTAAATTAGGAAATTTTGTTATCTGGTTTTGTATCAGTTCTAATCAGGCATTGAATAGAGTACTCAAAAAAACTTCTCGGATAATATCTAATGAAAAATATACATTTTTAGCATGGGTAATTTGAAAGATATTCACATTATTTGTCATTTTTATTTTGCAGTTCCAATCAGGCACAAAAAAAAGAGTACTCATAAAAGGTTGCCTCAGCTAATATTATTTTGAGATCACTAGAAAAGCTAGCTTTCCGATGCATAAACTCAAACCTCAGATAAATTGTTGTTGATTTCATGATAAATTATGGTTATGTAAACCAAAACAGCAATTTACTCACCCTTCCCTCCCCAAACATGCATTTGCATATTCATGTTTTTTGATAGGTTGCTTCGGAATGTGACATTAAGAGTTGGGTTTGCATATTTAGGTCATATTTGAGCACATTTAGCGTTTAATAAATAGCCCCGCTGTTGCCCGCAGATCATGATGAATGCAGGGATTATGGGACATGCAGTCAGATCTGTATGAACACGCAGGGATCGTACAGATGCGCTTGCACAGATGGCTTCAGCCTGCAGGCCAACAAACGATCCTGCAAAGCCAAAACAGGTGAGTCCATTTATCATCCCCGTTAGTTCCAGTTCCAGACCAAAAAAGGCACTTTAAGCAACATGTATTTTACTTTGATTTTCAATGGTGCTTGAAGAGCACAAGTCTAAAAATAATTTCACCCATGCATAAATCAAATATTTGCTCAAGTTACTGTACTAAGTGCAGGAGAATTGGACGACTGCTCCAAAACTGTAAGAGAGTAATGAACTGGCTCATTTAATAAACTTTTGACTGATTTTTAGCACATTGCTAGTGCTAAGGGGTTTTGGTTGGGTTTTAGGGTTACTGTAGGGTTACTGTAGAGTTTAGAATGGTTTTAATGCATTGCTATGTTGTTTTAGGGTGTTCTGTGAAGTTTCTAAGAAGTTCTGAGGGGGTTTTAGCACATTGCTACAGTATGTGGCAATTATGGGTAGTTCCTAGCCTGTTGATAAAGGAGTTCTGACTGTTTTTTAGTGCTTTGCTGCAGTATGTGGTTGCAGGGGGTTGGGTAATTGCTAATCTGTTGCTAAGTGGTTCTGAAAGATTTTTAACCCAATGTTATGTGATTTGCTACCCAGATAGCACACGTACATCTGCAAGATGTCTGTTAAAGATCGCTTAATCTGGAACGCATCTGATGTGTACAAACATCTGATGGACATCTCTAAGATGTCAATTTGACCTACATTCTAAATGATAATCATCTTAAAGACATTTTCTAAATGTACAGAAAGGAAGGAAACGTCCAATAGACGTATTGCAGATGAGCAAACACTTTAAAAAATACGTCTAGGAGATGTAAATGCAGACATCAAATAGACATCTCCGTGATTTAGGCCTACGTGTACTATCAGAGTGGTATTCTTGGTCTAGGTAATTTTGGGTAGTTATAGCTACAGTATGTGGTTTTTGGGGTTCTGTGTAGTTGCTAACCCGTTGCTAAGTGTTTTTTTTTATCACATTACTTTGTGGTTTCTAGGGTGTTCTAAGCAGTTGTTAGAAAGGCGGTTGCTAGAAAGTTCTGAGGGTTTTAAAGCACATTGCTCCAGTATGTTTTGCTGGGGGTTCTGGGTAGTTGCTAGCCTGATACTAAGGAATTCTGAGTGGTTTTTAATGCATTGCTATGGGGTTTCTAGGGTGTTTTGGGAAGTTGGTAGCTTCGTGTTAAGGAGCTCTGAGGGGACTTTTGTGGGGGGAGGGGGGGGGATACATTGTTATGTGGTTTCTAAGATGTTCTCGGTAGTTGTTAACTGGATGTTAAGGGGTTCTGAGGGTTTTTTTTGTGCATGACTATACAGTGGTATGCAGTTGCTGGGGGTTCTGGGTAGTTGCTAGCCTGTTCCTGAGGTGTTATAAGGAATTTTAGTGCTATGTGATTGTTAGGATTCTGGGTTGTTGCTTGCCTGCTGCTAAAGGGGTCTGGGTGTTTTTTTACATATTGATGTGTGATTGCTAATTCTGGGTGGTTGCTGAGGGACTTTTTTAATGTTGTAGGGTAATATCTAATACTATTATTAAGTATTAGCACATAATAATAGCATTTACTATAGAGAAGAGTCTCTTAACAAGAACCTCTAGAAAATAAGTGTTCAATAGTGAAAACAACGAAAGGTCAACAAACTCCACACTTGACATTTCACTCAGCATTTAAATTATAGTTGTCTTAACATCCTAAGAGCTAGTCTAGACTAGATGGGTAAACATAATGCCTTCTGGGACGTTTGATTGAACAGGAAAGCCTCAGTGGAGTAGTATACATTGTTATGTGGTTTCTAAGATGTTCTCGGTAGTTGTTAACTGGATGTTAAGGGGTTCTGAGGGTTTTTTTTGTGCATGACTATACAGTGGTATGCAGTTGCTGGGGGTTCTGTGTAGTTGCTAGCCTGTTGCTGAGGTGTTATAAGGAATTTTAGTGCTATGTGATTGTTAGGATTCTGGGTTGTTGCTTGCCTGCTGCTAAAGGGGTCTGGGTGTTTTTTTTACATATTGATGTGTGATTGCTAATTCTGGGTGGTTGCTGAGGGACTTTTTTAATGTTGTAGGGTAATATCTAATACTATTATTAAGTATTAGCACATAATAATAGCATTTACTATAGAGAAGAGTCTCTTAACAAGAACCTCTAGAAAATAAGTGTTCAATAGTGAAAACAACGAAAGGTCAACAAACTCCACACTTGACATTTCACTCAGCATTTAAATTATAGTTGTCTTAACATCCTAAGAGCTAGTCTAGACTAGATGGGTAAACATAATGCCTTCTGGGACGTTTGATTGAACAGGAAAGCCTCAGTGGAGTAGTGCGATCACAGTGGCGATCATCCGGATGCATTAGTATAGATGACACTGTCATTTGCCTGATGTGAGTGCCAGTTACATTTATTGTCATCAGTATGCAAATAGTTACCGGCGAGCTGGGCTACGACAGAGCTGTGGGAGAGATAAACAGGAGAGGCCTTAATGGAAAGTCAATCAGAGCTCATGCAGCCTGACCTGCGACTGTCTATCAAATTTAGAGATGATTACACGCTCAGAGCTAATTGCACTTCATGGTGTCTATTCATTAGTCTGAAAAAAAGGACAAGTCGATCACATAGTTTACATTTGCACAATTTGTGTTGCAGCTATTAGATTTTTTCCATAAGTGTGAGCTTCTTAATGAACCTGGGTTTTAATTGCTATATAGGTAAGCAAAATATGTAAATATTTATATATATGTTCATGTAACACATATATATTCATATTTTATATGGGTGTTTCTTCAACTACAGGAACTTTTATGCCCCAGGTACAGATTTTTGTGATAACTAATTTTTAGGTTTTACTAATCATTTCTTGCTAAAGCATATATATTTGTCCCATTCATTTCTTACTTTATTTCATTCTTTTGATAGATAGATAGATATGTGTGTGTATTATTTGTGTAAAATTATACATTTTTATTCATATTGCTAAAATACATTGTAATGCATTTGTATATGTAAATGTGGTGTGTATATATTATTAATTTATATATCAATAGTTCTTAATATGTGTTTATGTATAATATTTATTGTGAGAAATTATGCATTATTTGTACTGCTGAAGTAAAGTTAGTGTATGTGTGTATGTTTTTGTGAATGTGTGTATAAATCAAGTATTTTATATTTTATTCTTGTGTGAAAATTATGCATTTTTGGTCACATTGCTAAATTATAAATAGTGTATGTTACCAAAGATATAATCAAGAGCACGTTTGAAATAAAATTTGAGACATGTGAAATAAAGAAAAATCAAGGTAAATCAAGCTGTAATTGTCAAATTATGCAAAAAGTTTAATTGATTATATTTCCGATACATAAATATATGTGACCCTGGCCCACAAAACCAGTCTTAAGTGTAAATTTTTCAAAAATTGAGATTTATACACCAGCTGAATAAATAAGCTTTCATTGCAAACATTGATGTATGGTTTGTTAGGATAGGACAATATTTGGCCAAGATACAACTATTTGAAAATATGGAATCTGAGGGTGCAAAAAAATTAAAAATAAAAATAAAATCGAAATATTGAGAAAATCGCCTTTAAAGTTGTCCAAATGAAGTCCTTAGCAATGCATATTACTAATCAAAAATGAAGTTATGTATTTACGGTAGGAAATTTGCTAAATATCTTCATGGAACATGATCTTTACTTAATATCCGAATGATTTTTGGCATAAAAGAAAAATCGATAATTTTGACCCATGTGTAACGGGGCTGACGAGACGTGAGACGTGTGGATCCATCTGCAAGCTTTTAATAGAGAGACGTGGTAAACAGGCAGGGTCAAACA